TATATATACACACATACACTTGATTGCAAAAAGGTTGTAGTATACATTTATACAGATACTTAATGAGATGCAAAATATCTAATAAGATGAAGAACGTAAAACATGCTTAAATACGATTGCTTAGCCACAACATTTTGTGGAAAATACTTTTTTTAACTTGACTTTGTGCAATACTTAATGTCTATGATACAATAGAAGATAAATAAGACCAAATAAGCTTTTTTAAGTTCTGCATCTCATTTGATATCTTGCATCTCATTAGTGTTTAAAAAACGATTAGGAGGCGTAGCCGAGTGCTTTTATACCTGATAAAACACGATCTACGATTTTTTTGAACTGCTTAAAACACTCATGAACAATTTTTAAGATTTTGGTTCAACTAGAGCCACCATACACGTCACGAACATGGATTTTTATACTTCGATAGAGATTTGACGTCACGGGCATGCGCAACCAGATTCAATAGAAGCTCCCACACTTGGATATTGCGTGTCGAGGCAAAGACAGGCACGTTAGTCAAAGATCATTAGGGTTGACTATGACCTTGATGAAGCTCTATGTCTTCATCTAAACTTGGATGCATACTTCATCCCTGATGAAGTCATCCTCATAGTATTCGAGTGGTCTTTATATAAAGATCACATGCGTCTTTATATAAAGACACATGTGTCTTTATATAAAATCACTTGAATACTAATGAAGAGGACTTTATCGGGTATAAAGGTTCATGCACGTGACGTGTATGCGTGGACCATAAGCTTATGAATTATTAATGAGTGTTTTAAATATATATATATACAGTGATATGCAGAAATTCTAATCCTTTTGTACATATATACAAGTATATCAAAAGTATATCAGAAATCATAGAATAAATRCAATGTTTCGGTGAAATATAATCATAGTGTACATTATAGGCATTAATACTAGATATTTGGCTAATTTTTGGTTTAAAATTGTTATATTTAAAGATTATGGAAATGTACTTGAAGCTTCAACAGTTGAAGAAATGCGACCGGGTGAAACAGTTTATACAAAGATCGAGGGGTCCTTTGAAACATCTGGAGAAATAAGTTTAAAGTAAGTWGCCATTTTATTTTATTTTATTTYATTTTTTGGGCTTTATTCCCTCAAACTTGCTCTAAGAATTTCTAACTCATCTCAGCTTTCTCTTATCGCCTTGTCTCTTCGCTTCACTGGCTTTTATTTGGGTTTTTCTCGATAGTTGCGAAGGGAACTTTTGCCCGAATAGTCGGTAGTTTTCAATAAACACGCACCGGTAATCGTCATCATAGGAACGTCGCACAATGCGGACATATGCACATAAGGCAGTGCGCTCGTTTGTGACCAGTTATAAGTTATTTAAGTTATGCGCACAAATGTGGTGATCTCAAAGAGGAATTTATGTGGTTTTATGCGTGCGCCATAGTAATATATCCTCACTGAATACTCATTATCACGTCGCAGTATAATTAGGTTATGGGCGAGTTCCGATCGTCTTCCCTCACTGAAKTAAAGATACGAGATTGAAGATGGCCTACCTCCTACACTTCCTGAACACCCTGTAATCTATATATTTTGTAGATACAATAATGCAGCTTCTCGGACTAACTTTCCTACTTTATAAACATCCTATATCCATTACTCAAAACTCAGTCCAAACTCCAAAACCCACTACTTAAAAYCCCATGTCCACTACACTACACTGTCCAACACTCAAAACCCCAATACTCAATATATGTCTCAATGTTTAGTAATATTTGATCGCAGCCTGACATATTATGTACTTATTGACTGAGTGGGGGGGCCGTACGGGAAAATATTTGGCTCGAGGCGATCGTACAAATGACCGAGAGCCAAATATTTTCCCGTGCTGCCCGACCTAACTCAGTCAATAAGCATTTTATCATATGACCCTCACGAAAAGAAAAATAATAAAATTAAAAGAAAGAAAATACGGTCGCTGGTTTTGAGCAGGGCCATACGGATTCGTACGGCCCTGCTCGCACCATTTTCCCAAAGGTTTTTGCAAGAGCGCGCGCCCAGGCAGATACTTGTCATATGATAATATACATTCTGAATCTCCAAAACTTAAACAAGCGAGACAACAATCTCAGCAAACATGAGACTATCCAAAGGGTGGGGTTTCACACAACCAAAACCATTTTCCTGCGGTCTGTGCTCCTTGAGCATGCGTGTTGCTTGTCCAGAATTTGTGAGTTGGTTACCTTGGCTGGTGGCGGTGGTGAGGACAGCAAACAAAATTCGGTTTCCAAATCCCAATGATTTTGAGAATTAAGGCATGTGTGGAGGGTTAATTCATACTGATCYGTGCTAATTAAATATTCAGTGAGAATATTACCCAGGTTTGGGGATGATAACTGGAAATTGTCCTGAAACCCCTTTTTTTTTTAATCAAAAGGTTTTTGCAGGACGAGGAATTTTCGAGGCTGATCGTTCTTCAGAGAAAACGACAAAATACAGAAACAGGAAAACGAAWAGTTCAATTGCTTTTTTACAAGAAAGAAAACGAAGAGATGCCTCTTTGTGAATTTAATATTGAAGAAAATATGATAGATCCTGAGTGCCATGTAAGTATCAATACATATATTAATGTATATGYATGGAAAATTTGTTCTCCTATCTTACAAAATGGCGTAGGCTGTTCGTTTTTGTTAACTGCTSTTTTCAACTTTCTGCTATTCTGGTAAACTGCAAAAAACCTTTGTTCAGTGGGCATCTATCTGGCAACAAATCAGATCTAAATTCATTCRTCGAAAGCCAAAACTTCAGAGGATATACATTGCCGAAGTTAGACTTTTCTGTGTGGCAGAAAGCCAAAAGGGTTAGTGTTACCAATAGACCCCTTGCGGGTAATCTCGTACCCAGAGCCTGCGTTTCTTCTGGCCTGCGGCGAAGAACGAGGGCTGTGGCATAATYCATATTATGGCGCAAGCGCAATTTTCGGAAAGTGAAATATAAACGATCAAAATAATCAAAGTAAAAATTAAATCGAATTAAAAATCAAAGTAAAAATCATAGTAAAAATTTAAAATCGGGAAAATATTTTTATKAATTTTTGGCAGGTCTTTGAAAGCGTGCGCTGTTTTATCGGAAGTCCACGAAATCCTGGTTTCACAAAATGRATWATGCCAGAGCCCTCGTTCTTMGCCGCAGGCCAGAAGAAACGCAGGSTCTGGGTACGAGATCGCGGCATATTCTCAAAGAAGCTCGTTGATTTGAGGGTAAAATAATTGATGACAACGATGTAAAAATGAAACGCTTGCCAGGGGCAGCGAAATTTTGATGTGCGAAATTAATCAGAGCAGCAAAGACTGATTATAAGTTATCTTTACCTTGACATGAAAGGTTCGACGTCAGAACCCCTTTTAAAAGACTTTTTAACGAGCTTAAAAATTGGAAAGTAACAGTCAGCAAGAGACTTCCATGTCCTTTCTACTGCAGTTAAAAGACACTAGCTTGCCCTACCACGAAACAATAGTTCCAAGTTGAGGYTTGACTTGATRAAATACGGTAAATGTATAAACACATCAAGTTCAACCTCCACTGGGAGTCATTGTCTCGTGGTCACTCAAGCGAACTCGGTAAAGGTTTACTTAACGGATTTTTCATATGGTTACTCAGGGGCGGATCAAGCGGTGATTAAAGGGGATGACTCGTCACCCCCCTTTAGAGCTCAAATTTCTCACTATTTAGTTTAGCAACAGTCACTCTCCTTTTCCTCAAATTCCTGGTAAAACCTTTGTAATAGTCACCCCCCTTCTAAAAATTCCTGGATCGGCCCATGTTACTGCATTATAACAGCCAGCTTTCCTTTTATTTGAAGGCCCTTTCTGACAGTTTGAGTCAGGATGGTACTGGTACATCTGCAGGTTTGTACGTTCAGTTAAATGTGTGTCAATAGACGTATTGGCAGCAGACACTAATACTGTTGTCAGCTAGTTGTCTGGTTGCTTGTTTTTCTCTTGAGTATAGACCCCTTTTCAGACTTATCTTGTATGCTTGGCTGAAAACATTAGAGAAATCACACTTTTACTGGATGGAATTTGTGGTATTTCTTTTGTATTTCCACGTTAGCCTCGCATTTAAGATAATTTTGATAATTTTAAGATAATAGTCCCCTTCACAGTTCCGCGCCATCTTACAGTCAAACAAGCTCACGCGTTGACCCCTAGAGTCGATCAATGATTTGAATTTTCGAATTTTGATTTCATTATTCAGTTGAAATTTACAACGTCGAAAATGAAGATATGAAAATTCCAATCAACTTTAAATTCAATATTCGATATTTTGATTGGTTAATCAGTGCTAACACAGGAAGATCAAGAAAACATGGCGGCCAGAAATAGTCTTGGYCGTGTATATGTGCCGGGAAGGCCTTTACCTGATATTATTCGACAGGAAATTGTTCATCTCAGCGATAGCGGATTGCCCAATGAAGCAATTTCGCGACAACTGAAAATTTCTAGTTGGGGAGTCCAGAAAATACTTYAACATYATCGACGACATGGAACTGTGTCTCCATTTCGCTCAAGGCGGGAGCGTTCCCTACAAAACTATTGATGATATCCTCCAAGTAATTGAGGCATGGAAATTACAAAACCTAGTGTGTATGCTTATGAAATAAGAGAGCGACTTCTGCTCGAAGGTATCTGTAATTTAGATGATTTACCTTCTTCATCACGAGTCGAATAATGAACTGAATTTTCATTTGAATATTGCAATATTGCATTGTTCCGGTTCGTACGCATAAAAGGAATAAYTGACTAATGATTTCATTAATCGACTCTAGGGGTTAGCGCTTGAGCTTGTTTGACTGTAAAAGGTAACTGTGCCTTTGAATTAAAGCGAGACGAACGGTGAGCTTGCAATGATAGACACCTTTTTAAAACACCTTSAACAATTATTCACATGTCTGGGAACTGTGAAGGGGACTATTGCTCACTTATCAATAGATACGGTTTCACGAGAAAATAAAATAACTCTATCAAATAGACATTTACTCTCTTTTACAGCCATAAGTTGTGGCCTGGGAGGATCTGGGAAGAAAATCAATAGCCCACTTCTGAGATATGCTTTACGTTTTACGCACAACGGTTTGTGCGTGACAATCGAAGCATATCCCAAAAATGGGCTATTTTTCGGACTGAGATCACCAAAGTAACTTCCCTGGTTAGTTGGACGCGGAAAACCGTTCAAAGATGTTGGGCATCCGATTCGTAGGCTATAAATAAACAGATCGATCCCTGTTTTTTCTTTCGGCAAACGGCAAACGTGACTACGTTTTCATCGTTTCCCTGCATTTCACTTCACCTTTTACAAACCTTTCCATGTTTATCAACTACTTGGAAATTTTAGCGGTTCTTATCTTCACGAATTTTAAAGAATTTTTCATTGGTCAAATGACGTTTGCCGTCAACGAGATTCTTAACCACTCTGACATATCTTGCATCCTTTTTCTTTCTCTAGCCAGTATCAATTATACTGTCAACGTTTCAGGAAGTGCAGTGGCTGCTATTGGTCCAAATTCCTCTGTGAACTCAAGGTATTATACTGAGTAAAGTGATTAAGTTAGGCTATTGTCGATAGAAACCAGTGCGTAATTTATCCTCACATCACCCTCCTGAGTTTCTATTAAGGCTCCATTTAAGATAATCCATTTAGTAATCAAGGGTAGTGATGTGGTATATCGTGCACTCTCCTCTCACCCCTGGGATCTCGGAGTCAAATAGTATAAGTTCTCATTTGGTAAACACTGCTGTGTCGTATGACTGAAGACCAAAACCAATTTTTTTGAAATCTCTTTTATGGTATTTGTGAGTAGCTGACTTACAAACGAAGCTAAGAGACTGTGGTACAGATGTACGCAATTGGTTTATTCTGTAAGGTGTCCATACCTCAGCCCTAGGTTTGTTTCATATTGTTTGTCAGATTTCTCCCTTGATTCGAGGGTTTTCTCTAGGTTATCCAGTTTTTCTCAAAATTTAACAATTCAATCTCTGAGGTGGAAATTCTTCATCTTAGATAGGCCCAGAGATTGCTTCAGGGTTTGATAACTGTATAATAGAAAATGAGAGTGTAAGTGTGTGGGATTTGCCTAATTCAGTTATCTTTTAACAAACACACATGTCCAATACTCTGAAAGGATTCCTGTCGGTTGATTTTCCATTGGATCCAAYGGAACCAACGGGTAGCGCGAACAGACACTTCATTTCGCGTTCCGATGGCGGTCTCGTGGCCACATGAAAGTATCTTAATTTTTCATAATAACAGAGGTATCCCAATCGCGAAGATTGTATGACATTTCAAAGTCGGAAACCGGAACAGTTCGCGATATTYCGTTCTGCCCATGCTATAATACTCCGTTCTGAAAAACATTCAGACTCATTCACACCACAAGAATATGTATATATTTTTATATGTATATATTTTTAATGTTGTTGCCATATTTTTATATGGCAACAACATTCATACGACTTAATATGTATATCTTATGATACAGTCTTATGACGATGGCAACTACTGATAAATCATAAGTGTAAACGCTGTTCCAAAAAGATCGAGGCCATAACTGCTCATTTGTTTTCATATCATAGTGCCGGCACGACGATTATTCGATTATTTTCGAAATCCAATATATTGACGGAAAACAGCTAAGGGAAGTCATTAAACAACATACTTCTCAGCGTAGTCACACTAGGGCCATTTAGCTTGATTCGATTAGTTCGCACACGATTTATACCGYTTAAACATGCATTTAGATCGATCAAACTGAGGTGATCTAAATAAGAGCAGCACGAGAGTTGGTTTATATTAGTTCGATTTTAACTAAACCGATATAGCTGCTATTGTTAACGATACCGATCGCTGACCAAATTTGGGCCATTTAAAAAGACAGTCAGGAGCTTATCTTCTTTTGATATATAATCTCTACTTTCAGTTTCTATTGTTACAAGTTAGTATGTGATAAAATAGTTATATTTAGCATATTGTATAATCTATATCTTTATTATATAACTCCATATTAAATCAATATATCTCCAGTACTTTTTGTAACGGCAGTTGTCCGCCAAGGCGGACGCGCGCGCGCGCGTTGTCTGCAGGCTTGCCGAAATCGGTTTTGTTTGCTATAAATACCGTTACATGCAAAGATTGCTTCTTGATGTTTGTAGTGAATCCAAGTAATGATAGAAGACTAATTATATATAAGAGAAATATTGAGGCATTTGAAAAGGACTTGAACGCTAGCGCGAAATTTAAGATGTCCTCGTTGACACATTGTTAGCAAGAGAATATGAACTAAGAGAAGGAATCCCCGTACCCCATCATACACACACACACACACACACACATACTGTTTGTTACTGTAAACTGTAACAAATTACTTACATTCTCTGGATCAATTGGT